CTTTGGTTTATTCCTTTATGCCCCCCCGGCCCCCACCCCCCGTGTCTGGAATGGTGTCTGGCTCACAGTGGTGCTCCATCTTTAATTATTGAGTAAGTGAGCACATGAACTTCAGTTTTCTTTACTAAAAACTGCAGACTTGACTCCTGGCCTGGGCTGCCGGCCTGCCTGGGAGTCCCCTTGCCCCCTGGCCCCCAGGCTCCCCACTGTCCCCGCATTACACCCTATCGTCTTCACTGACCATCTGTGCTCCCACTTCTGCCCCCGCCTCCAAGACAAAGCACCGGGGCTGTGCCCGTGCCTCTTGCACCTCAGAGCCCCACCCTGACGGACGCTGTGCTGGGGGCAGGTGGCCGTAGGCTGGGAGAGACCAGCACAGCCGCTCCTGCCCAGAGGATCAGCGCTGGATTGGAAAGCGCTTTGATAGCCCCGAGGGCAGCACCCCCAAGAGTGCTGGTCACCGGTTCCCATGGCAGTTGATGTTCTTTGTGTGGTTGGCAGAGAAGGCCCCAGCAGCCCAGCTGGCGTACATATCAGTCACCAGGCCGCCCCTGCTGTGCTGCCCTGCCCTGCCCAGGCCAGCGCTCGCTCAGCAGGAGCCTGAGGAACCGGGGCCAGATGAGGCCAAACGGAAAACTACCCACTGGCCGGGCTCCTGGAATCACGAGGGGGCTCATCACCATGCTGGAACCTGTCCCTCTGCTCCCCCCGCCCCTTCCTGAGCTCCTGTGGGCCCTGGCAGCTCTGGGGCGGTGATGGGGCAACGGCTCCATGTGTCATCCCGGCTCCCTTCCTTTGTTTACTTGCCCACTGGGCAAAGTATGACACTCCGCTTTGCCCGGGCATTGTGGGGCACAAAAGACCACACGAAGGTGGTCCTGGGGAGTCTTTGCCCCCTAGTGGGACAGGCAGGCTTGTGCAGGAGGAGGAACACACCTGCCCCACCAGCTCAGGCCGCGCCTGGTCCAAGGCGAAGCCCTGCAGTTGTCTGACTGATTATTTCTGGGCCCGGTGCTGCGTGCCGACAGCCTGCTCCGCAGAACCCACTTCAAACCACGAAAACACCAAGGCTGGCTGGCAGCAGGCAAACAGGATGCGAACCTATGTATTTACAAACCAAATCTGTTAGCAGGGAGGACCGCACTGGGGAGCAGGGGACACTTTTAGGATGGACTGGCTTCACCGTCACCTCTTAAAATCTGAACATAGTAGCACTGGACCATGGCGGCCAAGGAAAAACCTGGCCACTGGCTTTCCTTGCTGTTTGGAGATGATGCCCCTCAGTGGTGAGATGGTAGTCCGTTGGGCTGTGGAAGCCCTTCTGCCATTCGCCACTGCGTGCTGGGGGAGGGCGGCTTGGCTGGCAGCCGGAGGGAGTGACAGGGGCTGGGGAAGATGGCCGGAGGGGCAGGTTTGAGGGGAAAAATCAGGAGGCACGTGTCACCTCCTTTGTCACCTCCCTGTCCCAGACATTGTGCTTGGGCACATGTGACAGTAGCCCGGTGCCCACCACACTGGTGTTGAGGGCCGCTCCAGGCTGGTTTTAATCACCGCCTGGACCTCCAGCATGCAGTCTGGCTTCCCACCCCGCAGCCAGGCCCAGGCTGCAGTGGGGGTGGGGGGCAAGCTTGCCGCCCATGGCTTCTTGGCTATAAAAATCCCTGACACATGACCCGTGAATCTTTGGACCACATCCCTACCCCCGCACCTGCCCCAGTGGTGGACAGCTCCTGCCTTGTAGGGTGACCAGCCTTTAAGCTGGGGCCCAGAGTTTGGGCCCACTGTTCCCACTTCAGGGGGTGCTGGCCCCCCGGGTGGACCTTGGTTGGGGCCTGGTACAGATTGTCCAGAGGAGACCCTTGTACAGAACCCAATACTTGGGTCCCCGCCCTTTCAGCATGTAACACTGACAGTGACATTATTTGTGTCCCTCTCTGCAAAAACGGGTTCCAAGGCAGGGGCTGCTTGTTGCCCCAGCCCTGCTCCTGGCACAGGGTCCCCAACATTCAGTACCTAACAAGTGTTGAGGGGCATTTTACAGCCCTTGGAACATGGACTCTGGGCCAACCCTGGATTCCAGTCCCGCCCTGACACTCCCCAGCTACACAGGCTGGGGGAGAAACCTCGCCAGCCTCAGTGTCCTCCTGTGTGAAAACAGGGTAACAGTAGTGCCTCCTTTGTCCAGTGTCATGGCCAAGTGGGTCTCTGTATATGCAAAGAGCTCAGAGCTGCACAGAACCCGGCAAGTGCTATATGTTTGCTGCTATCAGTGAGCAAATAAATGCATAAAGCTCACTGCACACGCACTGTCCCGGCTTGGCTGAAATTTCCCGAGTGGGTCTTTCAGACACTGTTCATTCCCCCTGGACGTCCGCCTGGTGTTTACAGAGCCAGGCACCGTGCGAGGTGTGGGGGTAGCAAGCTGACTATGAGAAACCTGGCTCTTGGATGGCTCAGAGGGTGGGGGAAATGGGTGATGGGCAGGTGGGCAGGGCTTCAGGATTCTGTACAGGAATGATGATGGGGGCAGCGCAGGAGAGGTGGGCACTGTCCTGCTGGTTGGGGGGGCGGTGCAGCAGCAGAAGGACCAGCAGGGTGGAGGTGACAGGGAGCTGAGCCCTGGACAGAAAGCACAGGCTGGACTCGGACGCTTTCTTTTCTTTTAATTGTCACAACAGAAAAGGACCAAAACAGCAAGAGCACTACCAGTCAAAGACCCACGACCCCACAGACACATTTCCACGTCCACTAAAGTTAGATATTTGTCATCAAAAGAGCGCAGCGAAACCGTCCGTTAAGAAATAGCCTTTCCACTTCAGTAAAAGTCGGTGAGCTCATCCGAGCCAGGGGGTTTGAGTAGCAAAGCTAGAATTGTTAAAATACTTTTTTATTCAGTAAATGACTTACAAGTTGATTATGAAAATGTTAGTAAAACACAGAAACATTTCCGATTCGCTCAGAAGAACTGGTATCTGGCTAGTTACAAGAATAAGTTTTCTGTAAAACTTCAGACGGTAGAAAGAGGGTTGGTGAGCATTTAACCGGGGAAGTAAGGCAGGGGGAGGGGCCATGGTCCGGGGCCAGAGAGGTGTGGGTTTCTCCAAGGCTGTCCAGCGGCCCCCACGCCCACCCCTCCTAGGCTTCCCCCAAACCGTGTTTCGCAGAGGCATTGACGGGAGGCCAGGTCCCTCAAGGTCCCAGAAATGCAGTTACTGGGACAAGTTCAGCCCCACCCACCCGCCATCCAGGCTGAGACTCCCCGTGAACACCGAAGGCTGCGGAGGTACAAGCTGAAGGGAAACGGTGAGTCACGGGCATTTCGACAACATATGGGTTCCAGACCTCTGCCGACCTGTCTGAGCTCGAGGCGGCGGCAGCCTCGGTGGCTGCTTTGCTCTGCAGAGCTCTGATTTACTCAGTGACTCACAGCTGGGGAAAGCGGACCTTCGGGAAATACCTTGGCTTTAAAATCAGAGATAGTGTGGCCTGGGGCTGGGTTTCCCGCCCTTGGGACCTGGGAATTCTCTGTGGTGGGGGCTGTTTGTGGACTGCTGGCTTCAATCCACTAGATGCCGGTAGAACCACCCCCCTCCCCTGCAAATTGGGAAAAACACAACTGTCTCCAGCTGTTGCCAGAGGTCCTCTGGGGGACAAAGTTGTCCCCCTTGAGAAGCAGTGGCCCAGTGGTTCAGACATTTTGCAGACATATGCCCTGGATGCTCTCCTGCTGGCTGGCCTGACCTGACAACCCTCCCAGACCTCTCAGAGGAGACTCAGTTTCCTCCAGTGTGAAAGGCCGGAAGCCCCCGCCTGCCAGTGCCCTGAGCCCTGGCCAGAACCATCCGCCTGGCCCGTTGGGACAATGCTTTGTGCGGTGCATGCAGTGACTCTCCATAACAATGCGGGGGTGGGGGGGAGATGGCTAATCAGACGGATGCTGGGCCACTGGCTGCTGCTCTGACACATGGGGGCTCGGTGAGGAACCAGGGTCTGGTTCCCCCAGAGAGGGCGCGGTTGGGGCAGGTGCACAGCACACCCCAGAATGCTGGCCACCTGTCCAGCTGTCCGAGGGCTTCCTCTGCTTTATTATGTGTCTTGATCAGACTTTGGTTCCAAAACGTATGCAGTGAATTTCACGTGCCTTTGACCACTCCATTACACTCCTGCTGGCTAGCGTCTCTCACTCTGGGCCATCCTTGCTCTCTTCATCACTAGGGTTTGCACTGTTTGTCCCCTGCCTCCCCACCCCAGCCTGGACCCTGCCCCCCAAAGAGAAAGGACATGCTGAAGGTCGAATCTCAGAACCGCCTCGTTGGGACCATCTGGCTTCCACTTAATTCTGGTTACCTGGGGTTCTCAGAGCGGCTTCTTTTTCTGCTGGGAGAGAATAGACTCTGTCCCTCTGGGCTCTCAGGGCTCAGTCCACGCACCCCCTCCTCCATCCCTCTCACTGAATGACCCAAGCCAGGGGCCTGTGGGGCGGGCAGGGCCAGAGAGGGGGGCGGGGTGAATGCACGGGTCTGAGCACAGCTCGGTGCTCTTGTCCCATCACGGCAGCCCAGCGCACTTGTTCTGGGGACAAAGGGACTTTGCCCGGACAGGGCAAAGGGGCCAGGTGACAGGTAGTAGAGAATACGATGCCTGTCTCAGAGCTGGGGCTGGTAACCCAGGGCCACCCCTTCCTCCCCATTGAATCCCCCCTCATGCCGGAAGGTAGTACCTTGGGCCAGGCGTCCGGGGCCTCCTCGGCTCTCCACTAATTTACTGTGTGGCCCCAGCTGCCCTCCCCGGACTGAAGGGCCCTGATGAGAAGCTCTCTAAGGCAGCTCACAGCTTTGGGACTGATAGACACGTGTGCACCACTGCCCAGCCCTTCCCAGGTTCACAACATTCTGGCCTCAGAGGCCCGTCCTGGGACAGACCGGTCCAGGGGGCTCATCTGCGGGGGGCGAAAGGGGGAGGAGGCAGGGAAGTGTCAGACAACTACCCAGCCTGTGACTGGGTTCGACAGAGGTGGAACCCAGTCACAGCTCCTCAGCTGTGGGTCCTCGGGCACAGAGCCCAGCTGCAGGCCCTCAACAGAGAAGAGCAGCCATGCCAATGAGTGTGCGCTCCTCCGCACCTGCACTGCTGCCCCGGGGGCGGGAGGTGGTCTGAGGAGTAAACGAGGTGCACAGGGAAGGGGCAGGATGCACGACAGCAGGGAGAACGGCCATTAATGGCGTCACCCCGAACCAGGAATCGAGAGGAGGGCTGGCCTGCCTGGCAGGAGTTAGCCTCAGGGTGCAGATGGCAGGCCTCTCCGGTCTCCAGGGAGGCCAATCTCCCCACTTAGATGGCGGGAAGACAGCCTATTGCTCCAGGCCAGTGCCGCCAGCCGGCCATCCCTGGATCCTGGAGGAGGCCCTAGAGGGGAAATAATCATCTCTCTGGGGGACAGAGAGGGTCAAGGGCGCCTCATTTGCCTCTTGACCTTGATCTCATGGAAAAGAGGAGGGGCAGCCACAACAGGCAAAAGCTGGCAGAGCGATCCCCTTGCCCAGGCCCCAGCAGGAGGTGGCATCCCCGTAGAACACAGGCTGGAGGGTCTTCCAGCCTCCCCGCCAAGCTCCAGGGACAGCACAGGACTGGACCTGGTAAAGCAGGTGTTGCTGTGTTCAGCAACATGTGCCCCTCGTGCAAACAAACGCCAGTGTGGGACACCTACAGATTGCAAAAGGGAAATGGAGTCAAAGTGTGCACAGAGAATGTTCTGGAAAATGCAGGACCCCTTCTCACAGGAGCAGCCACTGAAGGGTCCAGCTGCTCCTTCTCAGGGCTGGCTTCTCAAGTTAAGGTGGGTGCTGGGACCACCCCGCCCAGGAGAAGCCAGCACGGGAGACCCAGGCTGGTCTGAGAAAGGAGCACCCATCCCCTCCCCCACCTGTCCCCCCAGCTCAGGGCAGCCCTGGGGTTCAGCAGGAGGCCTGGGCCCTGGCCGGAGCCAACCTGCAACTCTGACTGTCCCACCACCCTCCTCAGCAATTCCAGCTGCAGGGCACGTGCCTCACTCCTCAGGGGCCCCTGTGGGGCTCCTCTCGGCACGTGTCCTCGGAAAGCTGGTCTCTGGGAGCTCCTCTGGCGTCCACAGAAAACTGTACTCAGCCTTCAAGGAGGGGAAGGCTACAGAGACCACCACCCCGCAGCTCGGGTGGAGAGTGTTGGCCAGGGGAGGAGCGTGCTCTGTTCCAAGCAAGGCCAGAGACTTCGACCGGTGGAAGCCAGAGCTGGCCCAGGCCACCCACGCTGCGAGCCCGTGGAAGAGGACCTCTGGAGACGCAGGGGCTGGTGTAAAGGTGGCCAAGAAACACCAAAGGCAGCCCGGTGCTGCAGAAAGAGCTCGGCTTTAGAGCCGGACGGTCCAGGGCCACACCGCAGCTCACCACTTCCACGCTGTGCAGCCTCCAGCCAGTCACTCTGCTAAGATCACTGCGCTGAGCTTCTGGCTCCTCGTCTCTGGGCCGGAGTGATGACGCTGTTAGGTACCCATGAGCATTACATACGTGCACGCCAGTCTGACACGGAGCCTGGACACGCCTCTCAAACAACGGTGTTGCATCTCTTTCTGCCTTTTACCTGAGGTTCAAGACAGAACCCCAACTCAGACAGGAGGAACAGCGCAGAACACTCTGGCTAGAACTTTACCGCACACAGCTATCCCCACTGTTCTCTGAGAAACGGTGGGAAAAATCAACAAGGAAACCCCAGGAGGTCGGATGCGATGGCCCTGGGCAAGTCGCTGTCACCGGTGCGATGCCAAGTTTGGACAAGAGGGTCCCTAAAGCCGCTGAGTCTCCATGGCCTTGACACTGAAAAAAAATGAATGTCAGGGGGAGAAAGCCTTTATGAAGGAGACTGCCAGGCCCCAGGGCGGCCTGGGAGGCTGGAGTCCTCCACCCTTTATCTCCTCCCCACACAGCTCCCTCTCCACAGGCCATTTGGAGAACAGGGAGCTGCCACCTGCCTCGTCAGGGTGAAGGTGTCAGGAGATGAAACAGGGCAGGAGGGCTGGAGTGACCTCCCTGCACTGAGCTGCCTCCCCAGCCTGGCTCTGACCTCCCTGCGTGGGCTCCCTGCCTAGGGAAAACTTTGCTCATGGCAGACACAGGGGCTTGATGGAGTGGAGTGTGCTGGGATGACGGGCGCTCAATGGCTCACCAGCCAGCCCAGTGTCCAGGCCGGTCCTGCAGAGAGCAGGGCCCCGGTGGTGATTCCAGAAGGCACTGCATCCAGGCAGAAGGTCCCACGTCTCTTCCCTTCTGCAATGTCGCACCTGCCCCTCCCACTCCTGACCTCCCTTCGAGCCGCAGCATTTGCGGTGGCTGCATGGCTGCAATGACAGATGTGACCAATAAACGCTGGCAGCCATCTGCCAGTGCTGTCCGGGGCAGGGCTGGTAACCCTGTTATCGCAGCAGCTCAGTGCCAACCTCCCAGGGGCGAGTGGCTGCCTCTGGACAGTGACGACGTCCCTTTGCCCGTTGTCAAGTACACTCATCTCCCCTGAGACCACAGTGAGCAACGCAGCCTCTCCGTGACTGTGCCCGAGCGCACACAAGGGGTTCCTAACCAGCCTTTCTAGTTTCTCGACTACGGGGGCGGGGGCTCGTGACATTTATTTTGTCTTGTATAGCACAGGGAGAAAGCAGGGAGACAGCCACCTGGCCTGTAGGGGAGGAAGACCCCCACTCCCTCCAGAAAGGGGTCCTGTGCAGTGATCTTCCCTAAGGTCAAAGGAAAAATGAGCCCTTTTCCTGCTGCTCCCCCAGCATGTCCCATCATGCTCCTGACCTCATGGTGGGGCGGGCTCCCTGTTTGCCAGGCCCCCAGCCGCTGGCTTCTAAGAATGTCAGGAACAGACTTGGGTAGGTACATTCATGCCTGCAACACACCAGGAGGCAGCCAAAGCAAGTTCACAATGTGGGTGTCTGACTGCTCCATCCACCCTGCAGGCAGTTCAAGACCCTCTGGACACTGCCCCGAGGGCAACCGGGGTAGGAGGACCTGCTCAGAGAGGGCCCTGAGTGGAGCCCGCAAGCACCCCTCCTGATCCAGCCCCTCCACAACCAGCCGTGCCTGGCGACCACAGGCGGCCACACCCCTCTCCCGCCCGTCCACCCAGCGACTGGTGGACAGGGCCTTATTCATCTCGAGGAGCCTGATTTCTCAGGGAACGAAGGGCATCTTCAAGTGCGTCCACTGACCGGCAGTTCTCGTTTTTAAAGGTGGCTTCTCCGCTTGTTAAAAGGAAGAGAAAGTCCATCCAGCTGAGAAAAACGCCACCCCAAAGTCCCAGCATGTCACCACTCATCTCCCCACCCCTGGGCTTCCTGGCGCTTTTGGGGTCTCAGAAGGGGCCAGGTTTCTGGTGAGGAAGGTGCCGCTTGCAAGTCAGACGAGGAATGTTCCTTCAATAGCCCTTCAGTGACCACCACCGACATTCCCGGGGGCCAAGGCTGGGCTGGGTACACTCAGATTCTGAGGGGGGCTCCTGCCTGCACCCCACGATCTGGGCATGGTAAGTCTGCCTGGCAACAAGACACTCGAGAGATTATTCACTGCCGGCAGCGCTTGCACAACGACATCTGTATTTTGAACCTCACTGGCCGTTCCTTCAGGTCTCTTGCTCTTGGGAAGCAGTTTTAAGAATCCCCTACTCTGCTCCTCAAAGGCCTTGGGGGTGGGAGCTCCCCCCGCCCCAGCTACGGGGCTGGGAGCCCGTGTGGCCGTGTTTTCGGGATCAGCTGGACCACAGCACGGAATGTTAACACTGGGGCTGCTCGCGGAAATCCCAGATGCACGCCCACTGCGCCCGGAGAGGCCGTGCCGGCGCCAGGAACTCCTGGTCCTGGAACGGGGGCGCAGCCAGAAGCCCACAGCCACGGAACCCGGGACCAGCACGCGGGACTGAGCCTCGCCCGCGTGCCCGGCACGGCAGGCCGCCCCTCAGAAGGTGAAAGCGTACACCACCCCCACCACCACGATGTTCCCCAGCGTCGCTATGATGGCGATCCAGAGCAAGACGGCGTCGTTGGAGGACCGCGGAGGCTCCTCCGGCTGGCCCTGGCTGCTGGAGGCCGCGTGGATGTTGGTGGAGGAGTTGAAGAGGGAGTATTCCGCGCCGAAGTCCTCGTTGGGCGAGTCCATGAAGGCTCCTCCCATCATGGGCAGCTGTGAACGAGGAGAGGGAGAGTTAAGCGCCCCCTGCAGGCACGGGGGCGGTCGAGCCACTCCGTGCAAAGACACAATACATATAATCGCCTTTATAACTGACGGTGTATACTTTAATCTCTGAAAGTTAGTATCCATAGACCCTTTGGAGGCAGACGCTTCCGCTTTGCACAGGGAAGCGTCGAGGCCCCAGGCAGCTGGGCATCTCCGCGGCCAGCTGGTCTGCAGCAGGCCTGGCCCCTCCAGGACTGCGTGGCTGTAAAACACCTTCGCTGTCTTCCACCTTAAGTACTATATGCTCTGCTTAGAACATTAAAAAAATATAAAAGAAGATAAAGAAAAAAATGAGAGTCACAATCCCACTACTTTGCGATAATCGCTGCTATCTCTTATCTGCGTGAGAGAGAGGAAGTCGCATTTAAAGATGTGGGTTTATATTCCTGTATAAAAAGTGCATCAAAATCCCATTCTCATAGCTGTATAATATTCTTTCATAGACACAAGTTACAATCTGTTCTCCTAGACCTGGAGATTTAGGAATCTCGGTTTTTCCTATTGTCAGTAATGCATGGATAAACATCTTGCACCTACGTGTGGGTGTGTGCACACACTTGCACAAGCATGGTTATTTATCGGGCAGACTCCTGGACGCAGCACCCCCGGCCCACAGCGTGAACACCGCAGCTCCACAGGAGAGAGTCGGGCCCCCAAACCCCCCCCCCCAGCTACGAGAATAGAAGACGGACTGAAAGGCCAGCCAGGGCGCCATCAGTGGACGTGGGGAATCGGAGATCAGGAAGCGACTCGTGGCCAGACTGAGAGAACAAGGGCTGAAGTCACCGTGGAAACAGGCTGTGAGAGAAGCATCCAGAGGCCCCTCAGAAAGGCCCTTCTGCTGGCCGCATCTACTTTTAGGCCACTTTTGGGGATCTCATCCAGGTGACAACTAGGCATATCACACCACAGGGCAGGTGCAGTCACTGGGCCCTGAGAATGGAGCAGATTTGGGGGCACGACCCCTAACCTCAAACCCTGGAAAGGCCACCACGCAGAGGAGAGAGGCACAGGACAAGACAGCAGGTTCCCTCTTGCTGAGTTAGACGCAATCAGCAAGGCACAGGGTGGGGAGGGGGCAGGCAGGGCGGCCTCGTTGCCCCATCGGATGCCGTCATGATCAGAAGAACTCTTATTGAAGAGTGGACACCAGCATATAGTGGACCCATGGCCAAAGGTCAAGGTCAGGGCCATCTCTAAAGGCTGTGCTCCCTGACCACGATTTCCAGGAAGTTGGGGACCTTCCCCTTCCCCCAGGACCCCCAGAGCCTAGAACGACACAGACACTCGAAAACTGTTTGGTGCATTAAATGAGTTCTAGGACCATCAGCCAAGAATCCCCCAGAGCCAGCGTGTCCTCGCCATGTGACCGAGGGCCACTTCCTGACCCTCTGAGGCTCAGGGTTCTCATCTGAAAGTGGGGAAATGAACCTCAACTGCCTCATGGCCGACGGCAGTTTCACTATGTGAACAAGGCTTTCTAGGGGGGAAAGGCAAGTCACAAAATAAACTCAGCTACCATTCCTGACATTAAACACACGCCGACAAAATAGTACTACATGTTACACATGGACCCACACACACGTGAGTGAAAGTACAACCACGGATTGTGAATATATAAGCCAGTCCCATGACAGCAGCTGCCCCTGAGAAAGGGGGACATGGAGGTCATACTTGTTTATTATATGAAAAGATGAACAAACACAATGAAATATTTTTTTAAAAAGAACTATTCTGGTCAGTGGACATATGAATGTCTGCTATGTTTTGGCATTTTTAAACTTTAGAACTTAAAGAGCAAGGCTTTGAACACTGGGTTGTGTCACACTAGATGGTTAGGGTCACCCCAGTGGGACCAGCTGCTCCCTGAGCCGGGATGGGGCCCCAGCGTGCAGGGTCCCGCCCCTCAGGGTTGGGGTCACTGTGTGGAGGGACTCCAGGAGGCATGACGGTCATGGACACTGGGGTGCCTGGGGCCACGCTGTCCCCGCCCTGCCCCCCACAGCAGAGCAGCCCTGAGGAAGGAGGCAGCCTCCCGGTCCCCATCTGTCCCTGCTGAGGAGACGGAGGTTACGTAAATCTCCCTGAAGCTGGGTCTGTCCTGAGAAAGGGACAGAGAAGCCTTTCACAGGGAAATCTTCAGAGCACAGTCACCACATGTGGCTCAGGCACTTCCCTGAATAATGGCCGCCCTTCAGTGGCGGGGAGGCCAGAGAGAATGGGAGGCTCTGAGAGGCGGGCTGGCGGGCCACACCCTGGCCCGTCCCCTGCCCCCTCCCTTCAGTGGCTGTCCCAAGGTCCTCCCCAGCACTGCAGCAGCCTGGCCACAACTATGACAGAATCTGTGCTCCTGGGCTGTGGATTGTAGTTACGTTTGTGTGTGAGTGAAAACATCTGAACTGTTCCCCGTCTCCTTGGGGCCGGGAGACCCACAGGAGCCCTGTCTCCCTCTCTGAGCCCCACTCACTGGGGAGTGATGGCCAAGGTCAAGCCCAGTGCTCAGAAGCCCTTGCCAGATATAAGCAGGCGGTGTCAGGTACAGACGGCTCAAAGGTGGGAGTCGGGGGGGCGACAGCTGTTGGATACAAGCCACAGAGAAAAACCAGGACACCCAGTTAGATCTGAATTTCAGATATACAACAAAATAAATTTTTTACTGTAAGTATATTCCAAATACTGCATTGGACATAACTATAGTAAAAATTTATACTTTTCCAAAAAAGTGATCTGACCTTCAAGTGTAACTGGGTGTCCCGTATTTTTATTGGCTGAATCTGGCAACTCCGTGTGTGGCCGGTCTGAGAAACAACCGCAGTTTATTCAAGGGCCACGTTCCCGCTCTTGTCTGGCGGGAGTGTGCCACCCGTGGCCCAGGCTCCCCAAGTGGCCTCGTTCATCGGAAAATTCCCCGGCCGCCTCCAGCCAGCCCACAAGCATCACGAGAGAATTCCTTTTATCACTAAATTTTTGCAGGATCTCCACAATCCAAATATGAAGGCTGGGTGGATTCGGAGTGCCATGCGTCCATTCCCGATTCATTCAGCAAACTCCAGGGCTCACTCTGCTCTGGCAGGTGCTGGACAGATCCTGGGGATGCCAAGGGTCACCTGTGACCTCTGACCTCCAGGGCTCCACAGTGCAAAGGAACACGGACTCAAACACAGTCGTAGGATGGCGTGACATGCACTTCCACGGAGATGAGAAAAATGGGGATCTCACGCAGGGTGGGTTGGGGTTGATTCCTCGGGCCAGTGAGGCTGGGCTTTGTGCTGCTTCCTTTCTGCTGAATGACACGGGCAAGTGACTGACCCACTCTGGGCCTCAGTTTCCCTATTGGTAAAAGAGTGTAATGGTGGAGATCGCCCTTCAGGGGCTGTGGGGGTGAAACGCGCCCCCGAGGCTGAGGTGCGATGCCGGCTGCAGTATTCAGTGACTGAACCGTGACTGCAGGGGCCACTCTGACTGCCATCTCGGGGTGGGCCCCAGGCACCCAGGGCCGAGGGCCGGCCAGCGAGCCTGCTGCTCCTCATGGCCTTGCCCTAGAGGAGCGCTTTGGTCTTTTCCATCTTCCCCTTTTGGATCTCGTTGATTTTAAGTGAATTCCGTTGGGAGCACGAGCACAGAAATAGGAAACCCACAGAAGGTGAACGGAAGTGACAGCGGTTTCCTGCCAGTGTGTCCTGAAGGCAAGGGCCGCAGACCCTCGGCGGGAGCAGCGGGGAGGCAGAGGCGCCCCGAGCGGTCATCTTGGGCCTGCGCAATCCCACTAAGTGGTGTGGACCCTAGGAGGCCTGGAGGGGACCCAGAAGGGGCAGGGCCCCTCCAGAGGATGCGCAGTCCTGGCTGCCAGCGCTGCTGAGCCTGCCGGACGGACCCCTGCTGGGTCTGCTTCCTGTCCACACAGTGGCGGTTTCAGCCCAGACCCAGGGGTCCTTTGGGAAACGTTAAAATACAATGAAAGGCTCTTGCCGCCTGCCAGGACAGAGCAAGCCCATGACAAGAACAACGAGGAGCTCTGGGCACTACAGTCGAGGCTCCGAGACTCTGCCCTGTGGGCAGTGGGTAGCAGCTGGGTTGGAGGGAGGAGAAACCCTGAGCCAGCCAGGCCGGCCAGTGTGCTGGGCTCTCCTCCTTATCTCCCAGTTCCCACTGCAAACATCTTCAGAGAAAGACAGAGGACGGAGAAGAGGCTCCTGGGGCTGGAGAAGGTGGGGGCATCCCTGATTATTTCTGTTTTCTCTTGTCACTCTCTGGCCTTGCTCCCAGGCCGGCTCCAGTCACTGAGCTGTGCTTCTATGGCAGAGATGGTGGCAGCAGGGACCAGGGAACCCGAACCGGAGCCCTAATCCTAACACTTCACTCTGGCCAGAGGATCAGGAGTCTTGTGGCTGGAAGAATGCGGGGGAGGGGCTCCCTTGCCTGTTCTTCCTCTTTCCCTCCCGCTTGGCCCAGCTGGCACGTGGCACCGTGGAGCTGTGCTCCAGACAGCGCAGAATACTAAAGTGGACAGGACCACCGAATCTCTAGCCTGAGGGTTAGGACAGAAGGCCCCTGGGAGCCAGAGAGTCCTGGGGGGGAAGTTGACAAAGGGGACCCCCTTCTCCGTGCAGGACCCTGCACAGGTCCGGGCTCGCTCCAAGCTGGGTGTGCATGGGAGTGACCCAAAGACTCTCGGGGAAGGCGCTGAGCGTGGAACCAAGACATGAACCCCGCCCTGGCCCAGACGCACCCCCAGAGGTTCTGGGGTTTCTGGACCCCAGACCCTGCAGGCCTTCTCACTGAGTCATCCAGCAGACCCAGGACTCCTCGGGACAATGTCCTGCAGAGAACTGTTCTCCAAATTAGGCCATTTTGTTGAAAGACCCAAGAAAAAAATCAGTTCTGGCCTGTCCTCAAATGTGACACCACAGCCAGCCCCCATCCCCGTGTTTTCTTTCGAGTGGCAG